CTTGTAGGTGCGCTGCTTAAAATCCTCCACATTCAGACCTTTTGAATAAACAAAAACAACAGAATGATCAACATCCCATCCATATAACACAGTGATAAACATACCAGTCTGTTTTGTGTTTGTCACCTCCACACTCAGACAGTGACTCCAGGAGAATGAATGCTTGATCCCCGTAGCAGCTCTGCTGTCCAGTGTTCCTCCTGTAGAATGGGTTCGCAGACTCAGGACGAAATTCAGGCTGAGGGCTCTGAGAGAGTAAAACACTCAGCTTTGACAGGTCATACACCCAGTGGAGCGGCTGAGCTGCAGAACATTTAAGACAAACAAAATTCAGTCAGAAATGTTAGATTTTTTTGATTGTTTAATTACCACATTACAGTGTCCATGTTTGACACATTACCTGTTACCAAATACTAATAACTTGCTAAAAAAGTTTAAAAAACAAACTTAAATGTTGGCCTGAGAAAGCTTAGCCTGAAAGTTTAAAATCTTGAAGTATTTAGTTAAATGCATTGTAAAAGCTTTGTGTGAATGCTTTAATTTATATATATATATATATATATATATATATATATAAATACATACACACACACACACACACACACACACACACACACACACGCACACACACACAAAATTGCTTCTGTCAATTTTTTTAATCTATCCTATTTGATTTACCAAAGTCACACAAGTGGCAATTTCACATCTGTCACATCCATAACAACACATTTTCCTCATAAATGTGAAAATATTAAATTAAATAAAAACAATAATTTTCGTTTAATAGAGATCCAACTTATATCCTTATGATTAGCATTGTTTCTTTGGGTTGTGCAGTTTAAGACAGAACTTCTACAAAGTATGCTGTATACTGTAAACCCACAGAATTTTTGTCACATCCATAACGCATGTTTATTTTCCTCATTTGAAGGACAAAACATGTTTACATATTGATATTTTTCTGATCCCGTAACTCTGTGGTCAGTTGTTCTGAAAAAATATAAACAAAAGTTTCAATATAATGCATATGCTTTCTATGCGAACTTGTGTTTTACTGCAAATGTCACACCCATAACGGTGGAATTGCTCTTGTATTTTCTTGATCGTCAATAGGCCTTTTTCACACTTCCTGGTTCCGGTAAGCGAAGCAGTGTACCACAACATCCGGTTTCAATGCGACGGAGCAAGAAAGAATGGCAGGGTCATCTCATCGCTGTGATTGCTGCGTTCCCAGCTGCTCCAACTCAAAAACGACACTCTTACTTTAATGACCACGATCTCCCGAAAGACGAAGGACAGGGAAAAGCATGGATGACAATATTAAAGGGGGTTGAATGCCGTTTCAAGTTATATGCGGGAGTACGTTCGTATGCTGTATGCACTTCAAAGCGGAGATTATCATGTTTTATTAAAGACTGGTGGTCTATGGTTTATTTTGATGAGTAATTATAATATAGACAAAACTCCAGTTAAGCTATCTGCCTTCCACAAACAAGTGCTCATCATGGTCATTAATCTATAAGCATGATTTATGCCTAAATTGTTGTTATTTTGGAATAATAGACAGTTCATACAAATGCAAATCTCTTTTTTTTAATTGGTTTGACAGCAAAATTATTTGTTTAGTCAGTTATATAATAAAGATGGTATACTTTTCTTACAATGAAGTCCTTTATTACAAAATCTTAATAACCCAGAAAGTTTTCAACTGTTATTGGTTCAATTCCTGCAGAGACATGTTATTCATTCATGTTATTTAGAGGTATTAATAAGACCATCCTTCTGATGCATTGTCTTTTGATATTACTAAATCTTATGTCGGCAAATTTTGTTTTACTAAATACCAAGAGTAATGATAGAGCTATTCATACTCTTTTCCAAAAAGAAATCATTACTGTACCTTATATTCAATTTTATTATATGTCTTTATTAAAGGGTGAATTGAAGAAAAGTGTGGCTGTTACCACAGAAATATCATGTTAGAAATAGAATTAAAGAAATGTCCTATAAACTCATCCACAAGTTTTATCCAGCAAAACATTGTTTGCAAAAATTTAAAAGTGGGATTGATGTAAATTGTATTTTTGTAACGAATATGAGGAGACAGTTTTACACTTATTTTGGCATCGTACATAGTCAGCTTATGGGGTGAGTTGCAAAATGTATTAATAACGATTCTTTTGTGTTCAAAACCTCTTTCATTATGGATAAATGTACATTTGGGCTTTACTTGATTATCCTAATCTAGAGGAAAATAGTTTTATTTATTTAATTTGCTTATGTTGTTAACAAAATTGTACATTCATAAATGTAAATTTACTAATATGAAACCAGATTTTAAGGTATTGATGACAAATATGCTTGTATAATACCAGGATCAACTCTCTAAACAAGAAACTCGACCCACTTTAAAATGTGTGAACTCTACAAATGTATTTCATTCATATTATTACATTTTGATTATTTGTATTTTATTCATTTATTTTATTTGTATTTTATTCATAATTACCTCCTCGTATGTACATTTTTGTATTGTAAAATGTTATTTTCTGTTCTTTAAATAAATAATAAAAATGAATATTATCCACGAGTAGGAGCTAACGTGTTTCCAGACTTGAGAAAACCTCACGAGCATTAAACAACCTGTAATGTATTAACCGATAGCAACTCGCCTGTATAGCTCTCGCCATTCACTATATCTGACTCTGAATAAAAAGGAAGGAGGGGGTTAGCACAGTTTACAGACGGGACTACTGACATTAAACTCATTCTGCTGGATGTTAAATAGCCAGGTTAATCTAGCTTACGAATGGCTTGAATGAGCAGATCTTATGTTGTTGGCTGTGCACCTTACTGGAACCTGATGTTGCAAACGGTAAGACACGTTTTCTGCACAAATTGTGCAAATCGGTATCATCTTTTAAATGCTGTTTTATTAAGGCAGTTTTACACATTCAACGAACAACATCTTCCTGTCCAAATTATGGCAAAGTTGACCGTGAGAAAGTCATCCGCTGTCCCGAGGCTGTCATGTCTCTGCGACTCCTAGCGAACCCGGAAATATCGATACACTGCTTCGAAGGGCGCTTCCGGTGTTCAAATCCGCTGTGAAAAAGGTCTATACTCAGGGGTTAAGTAAATACACAGTTGTCTGTACTGCAACAATAGATAATGACTATAAACACATTTAGCAAGTATTTTTGTAGTATGCGTGAGTAATGCAAACCTGCAGCATCGGCAACAGCTGATCCAATAATCGCTCCGATAGCCCTGTTAGAAAGGGCAAGAGCCATCTGTGACGGTGAGATAAATAAAAACACGTCTTTAACACGAACCAAATAATTCTAACAATGCTGCTGTACACGTCACGTTAAATAGCAGGAAACGTGTACTGTCGAAGTCTGTAGTGTAGTGGCTAATACAACTTAAAATACAATCACCTTGAAATCCTATATTTTTCGACCAGCGGAGTCTGAAGTTGGCAATTTACACAACATATTCAATGTGAAAGTGTTGTGTTATGGAACTGGATTTCCAGTGCGTGCTGGTTGGACGGAATTCACCACGTGATAATAAACGCATGAGAGCACGTGCACTGCTGTATTTGTATGCTTGTAAAATCAACAGTTTTTAAATAATTTTCAAATATATAAACAACAAATGATTGAATAAACATTATTTAAAAAAAAAAACGACATATTGTATAATTGCTGTTCGCCGATTTATTAATTTAGATAGGAAAACAAATGTTATAGATATGTTATAGATATGTTATTGAATGATCATTAGTGCAGGCAATAAAAATGTATTACTAGTTTAAATCAAATCAAACAATGTATAAATGTAAAATCGAATAAACTAGTATCACATATTAGAATAATATTTTTATATTTTTGCATTAAACATTTTTTAATTAAATTTTAGACCATTTTAATCCGGTCTATTGCTTTCTTTTATACTAATATATTTACTTAATCAAATAATTGATTATTTTCATTTTTTTTTATTTTCGTATTTATTTCTTTATTTATTTCTTTATTTCTTTATTAATTAATTTATTTATTTATTCTCAGAATTTCCAGTGGGGGTCCCTAGACCCCAGTTTGGTAAAACCCTTGGGAAGATCCTGCTTTATTATCCCATATTTATTTATTTGAATGATTTTTTTTATTTATTTATGTCATTAATGTTTATCTATTTATATTCCTAATTTGCAGTGGGGGTCCCCAGACCCCAGTCTGAAAAAGAACTGCTATCTGCCAAATTGTCCCTTAATTAATAGCTCTGTTTTTTGTTCTTTATGCTGTTCTTTATTCTACCCATTATCTTCAGGCTTTACAAATAGCAAAAATAAAACTGTTATTTATTGGTAAAAATAAATACATATGTCATTTAAAATATGTAAAAGCTGATTTGCATCAGATCGGAACCAACGGAAAAGGATGGCTTTTAATATTCACGAGGCAGACTTTCGTGATTGGAGGATCTTTTTAGTTGATTTATTTATTTACACGTGAATTATTTATGAATGTCTTTGCATGTAAGCATTTATTTGCAACACATATACATACAATATACACACACGGGTGGCTATGTATTTATATTCATAACAATCCTAAATGTTTGGCATTGTTTGTCTACGAAATCATTGTTTACACATCTATCAATTTATATGCACAGATGTAGGCAAAGCATATTCATTTTGTAGGTTTAACGTTATTTGTTAATAAAATTACACTACTCTACTGACCAAAAAGTTTGTTCGCAAAACTCACCTCAGCTTCATTTGTCTGATGCAAACTTTACATTGATTTGGTTTAAATGTAGAGATCGAAAATATTTAAAATATGTAAAAACAAATAGTTTATTTGCATCAGATCGAAACCAACAGAAAAGGATGGCATGGATTTTAATATTCATGAGGAAGACTTTTGTGATTGGAAGATCAACCACGCAACGTAATCAATACCTAATTAATATTCATAAGACTTCGCCGAAGATCAGAGGCACGTCGCACGACTCATTTATTATAAACCGTTGCCATAGTAGAATACGTAACTCAGCTGATGGGGATTTGTAGTCCCGCTAGACCACGGATAAACCAAACTAGTACACACGAGCTACGGCTTTGTCAACTTCAAGCGCGAGCTCAGAAAGAAAAAAAGACGGATGCCAAATATCACGCAAGGTGCGCGCTTCCCTTCGCGTGTTTCTACATCAAGCTTCCTTTGACGGAGTCTAATTTTCATAAAAGTTGTTCATTTTAATTTAACACCTGCATTATGGAGTACTGGAGGCAGTGCAGTCTGTGGCTGATCAATTGTAAAGTTTTGCCCCGGAATCATCGGGTCACGGCGGACTCGGCGCAGGTTTTTGATTTGGCCCAAACTCTTCGGGATGGGGTGCTTCTGTGCCAGCTGCTGAACAATCTCAGACCAGACACCATTAACCTGAAGGAGATCAATCTCAGACCACAGATGTCACAGGTGAATGCAGACAGCATATAATGCTTTATTATTACTAACTGTAATAACGTCCTTGCTATTATTCTAACCTACTGACATAACTTGTGACTTATCCCCCATTGGATTACTCTGCAGTATGAATATTTTTTTCCATATCTATCATTAAACTTGTTTTACAGGGTGTCTGCGGGGTATTACTAGTTGATAAATCAATTTAGAGAAATTTAAGGCCCTTTAAAAGTCTTAAATGCTGTTACAAGGTATTAAATTTTTCATCAGTTTTGATTATACAGTTATAAGGTTAATCACAGTTGTTTGCTAAAGTTTGACATTTTGGCATGCTGTTTAGTTTATGAAATTGATAAAATCTTGCTGTACTTGATGTCACACTGCTTTTTTTACTGCAGTAATGAAGGCAGAACAATTAATTCTGCGTTCTATAGACGAAAGTATATGAATAATGTTTTAGTTTAGGATCAGTTTCTTACAATCCATTTTTAATGAATATATTTAAAATTTTGCCAAAACCGGTTCAGACAAAGTGACGATGAGCTCTTATTATGTTCGAAAGGAGTGATAAAAAGGTCTTAAAAGGTATTGAATTTTACTCTCTAATTCCTGTATATACCCTGTTTTAACTTGCTCATTATTATGCAAGTAAGTTTACTTAACCTAACCCTCTTGTGCGAATGACTATCATGTTTTTGCAATGATTTACAGAAAATACCCAGTAAAATTGCATTCAGTAACAATGGTTTATATATACAAAGACATTTTAAAGGCATTTTTAGAAAAAGAGTAAATTTGATGACATTAACATTGCCACTAAGCCTCCGCTATAGTTTTACCCACATTCGTCTGGAAGTTTTTAATACATTTTTTTTTTGTTAAAATTGAATGTTATGCATTTTAATATGTACATGATAGAGTTTCATTTTTACATAAATATGTCTGTTAAGTTGAATTAAATATGACAACTATTGAACATTTACAGTATTTAACAGTAGTCAACATATGAAGTGGATCTCAAAAGTTCATAAAAGTTATCGTAATAAGCCTTACTTTGATTTTGTTCACTACTTTAATTAGCTAAATAAACAATAATTTTACTGTAAAATCTACTGTAAAAATGTCCAAACTGTAAAATGAAAGGAAAGCTTTATTAAATGAGAGCTGTGTTTCAGAATTAAAGATTAAATTGATCAATCATTTATTAATCAGTATTTAAACATAAATTAATGAATAGAAATAAATGAGTTTTCTTTTTTGATCATGAAGCTCAGCGTGATTTTTTCAGTGTCTTTTTCTATGTTTGTGGTTTTTAGATTATTAATGACTAAAATCTCTACAAACTCCATTATCATAAAATAAAAAAGGCTGAAAAACTATAACATAAACTGTTCCATTAAAAAGTAACCGAACAGCACCAGAATGTTATAAGGCTTCATAGTACTAGCCAGTGTCTTCATAGCACACAAGTGGTCCCAGTTCCAGCGTGTCGGACAAAGGGCTCAGTGGTAGATCCACACAGCTCTCTTTGTAAAACTTAATCATTCAGTCAGTCTGCAAAACTAGGCAAACACTGAGCTAATGAAACATCAATTTTTAAACGTACATGGTGTCTTGGTATGGACCCAAAAGTCATCCAGATGAATGTTCCGTCTGATTCGCTGCTGTGTAAGCAAGTGTTTAGGGCTGAGACGTCTCAGGCAGTTTGCCCAGGCCCTAAACAACTCTTCCCAGATGCCCCTGCTTCGCTCCAGCGACCAGATAAAATCCAACTTTGATCTGACTGATTTTTAAACTCAAAAATCCACCCTTCTGGATTGACGAGACACGGTTAGTCTCCATCAGACAGCGGAAGAAAGCGATTTTTAGAAACATCCCTTGAGACATTCCTGACACTTATCTGACTCATGCAAAAAAGGCTTTTTTTGATGAGTGTGCTTTTTGTGCTTTGGGATTAGCTCACATTTGCTTAAGTTTTATTCAGTTTCTGCTGTCATTGCAACATCATAACCTAAAAGCAAAATCTCATGTCATTTTCTGCGTTAAAGTTTTGCTCTTTAAAAGAAGTTGAAAATTAGTCAACCGCACCAATTAGGCAATAGAGACCGTTTGTGATTTATTTGTAAATCTCCTTTCCTCATCTACTGAAGGAAAAGCTGTTAGACTTAATGAGTCCACTAATTTGTTTTCCAAATTTCCACAGACGATCTCTGTGATATGACTTAAGTACTTTTGTCCTGGCTATACATTCCCATTTTCAACTATTTGTTCTTTTTCCAAAAAGCTCTTCCATTTCAAATCCCATTACATATACATTCTTTAATATTACTTTAATCTTGATTCAAAAATTTTTTTATCATGGTTTACAGAAGACAGCTAAAATGTCATGTAACTTATTTGCCAAAAAATATGTAATTCAAACAAAGACTCAATTTAATTATCACAGTACAGCCTGTAATAATTAGCTTATAATTATGTAAGGTATGATACAATTTAGAATAACCGCTTGATTGTTATATATTTGAAGTGCTGGTCAGAATAATGATGTTGTTTCATTTCAACCTAAGCGTATCTGTTACACTCAAAAATGACGTTTGCTGTTTGTTTAAACTGCTTGATTAAAATAAGCTGAATCAACACAATTAAACAACTTAACTGTTTTATTGATGTTTAATCCACTTACATTTGTAAAAATTTGTAAGTATTAATCGGTTTACTTAATTCCTTCATGTCGTCTTAACACAAATCAAATGTGTGAAACCCAACATTTGCTTTTACAGCATACACTAAATGAAACATTATTTCACCCATGTTTTAACAGTTCATTTTCACAAAAGCTTTTTGAAATTCTCAAGTTTACACTTTACTTGTATTTGCTAAGCTTAGTAGATAATAAAATCACTTTAGTAAATGTCTAAATGTTAATGACCCACGGGTAAAGGGATTGTCTAAATTTGAGCTGAAATATTAGAAAATTGTTTTAACAAAGTCAATTTTTTGATCTTTTAGTTTCTCTGTCTGAAGAATATCCGTACATTCCTGTCTGCATGCTGTGAAGAATTTGGGATGAAGAAGAGTGACTTGTTTGAGGCCTTCGATCTCTTTGATGTCCGTGATTTTGGAAAGGTAATGAAAAATAGTCTATTTAATAGGTCATTTTAATGGTAATATCACTTATACTGTGTGTGTGTGTGTGTGTATATATATATATATATATATATATATTTCGAAAATCAGCATATTCTAATATCACTACATTTATAATTTGTGTATATGTGTCACACACACACACACACACACACACACACACACACACACACACACACACACACACACACACACACACACACACACACACACACACACACACACACACACACACACACACATTTGAATTCAGAATTATTAGCCCCCTTTGAATTTTCTTTTCTTTTTAAATTATTTCCCAAATGATGTTTAACAGAGCAAGGACATTTTCATAAAATATTATTTACTGTCATCATGACAAAGATAATGAGTTAAATAAATGAGTTATTAAAACTATTATGTTAAGAAATTAAAATAATAATAACCATTAATCAGAAATTTAGGACAAAAATAAACAAGGGGGCTAATAATTCTGACATCAACTGTACATGTATGTTTACATGTATGTATGTTTGTTTGTTTGTTATATATTCATTATAAACAGTGAACAAAGATAGATTTTTAATTTTGTGCAATTCATCCTTATTTAGAATACAGTGATTTTAGATATTTGTTTTTCTGCTTTTTTAGTGTTTTGGAGCAGAGTTATTATACTATTTTTATCATTGTGTGAAATGTATGAAAAAGAAATGGAGATCTGTTCAAAGCTGGATTTGTATTTTTATAAAAAACATTCATCTTTCTTTAAATTTAAGTAAATTTAATGTGTGGTTTCCCTTTCCAGTTGTTTATTACACTTGGTCTTTTAAAATGTCTTAAAATAAATTTGATAATAATTAATATAAAAAATATATATATTTTTGAAACCACAAGTACAGTAGTAACTGAATTATCTGTCATAATGCTTGTTGTAAATGGGTGAACATTATTGGCTGAATATGGGTCAGACAGTATGTATTGATGGAGGGGGAGGGTGACACTGCTGACCAGAGAATCTAATTTACAATTCCATTCTCTTTATTGTACTTGCCGCATTATGATCAGCATCACAAATTATGTTTTTCTTAATCATTAATTAGCTAGAACTTGGAATGCTATACTCCAATATTGTCGTCATTATAGTTTTGGTGGGAACACTGCTATTCATGAATAGTTATGACTTTATCGGTTTTGTTTTTGTTATAGTTAATTCTTTGTGGCTTTAAGGGGCAGTGAAGAAATCTAATTTCTCTTGATCTTGTTGATGTATATACATGTACATATTGTTGACATGCGGACAAAAAAAAAAAAAGTTTCAGAACACAACTTTATCATTATTCAGTATATTAAAGGCAATCTGCCAAAATGACTAGTTGCGAAATGAGCCGTTTTATTACATGATAGTGTAACTAAAGTCCTTCCCCGTGAAAGATGATCAGCACCTACCTCTACATCGACTGATTTGCGAATGTAGTAGGTAAATATATACCAAGAGAGTTAAACTCAGGATTATGCATAAACCAAATGACACTCTGAGACAAGAGTTTTCAGACAAAACAATGCATCGCCTTTATGATCTCTACAAAGCAGTGCATGAAGTTTATTTTTGATGAAGCTCCAGATGCGCAAAGCAAGAACTTGGTCTTTGTTCACTTTATTTTACTGTGTTTAAAAAAAAAGACTAGAGACTATTCCACAATTAATTTTCAGAGAGATTGAAAAAGTTAAGACAGTAGCTATGTTTCCATCCATTTCTTTTTATGCCCATTTTGAATTATTGCATAAAAAAGCTTGATGAAAATGTCAAAACGCACATACATTTTGAAAATGCACACAAAAAATATTTTGTCACCTTAAAATTATAAGGTTCTATCTAACATTTTAGTCAAAATTGAGTTATTGCCATATTCTTATTAAATGACAACTCATTTACATTATGGGATTTTTTATAAGTTGTTTACATTTTAAGACTTTTTATTTAAAAGAACACACATACTGTTTGCTGTGGAATGCAAAAACTTTAAGGCTCATTATCTCAAAATCATTCAGAAGGTGACCATTTACATAATTGAGAAAGATAAAGTTTTTGTTTGATGAAAAAATATAAAACTAAAACGCATAAACTATTTTAAAACTATTATAAAACTATTTTACAGCATAAATGATTGTATTAGCATTAACAAAAGTCATGTGGTTTTGTTATAAGAGATCATGTGATGATAGAAATGTGTGTGATGGATGCATTAATGAACAAAGCAGTGGGCCGACCAAAGGCCACCACGCATTCATTTCTTTTTCTTCTGAGGCACAAGTAAAAAAAAAAACTCGCACAGGTTCTCCTACCGCAACACATTACGGCAACAGTTTATCAGGAAAAGATGATTATTTTTCTTTGACTTATGGGATGAAAAAGTTGGTTTATTCACAAATGTTTTATGCAATATTCCAGTTTTGCAAATAAATTTAATTAGCATCTTTAGATGAAAACATAACATAGCAAATGTTTTACAGATTGTATTAAAAGTTACACCGTAGTAATGTTGTACATATTGTCTGATATGTACGCAATATTTAAGCACTGGTATAGCATTGTTCATTTTTGAAGGATATAGTCTTTAAAACACCCGTTCACAAGTTGTCATTGAGAGACTTGGTTAACACTTTACAATAAGGTTCATTAGTTAATGCATTTACTAACATGAACTAATCATGAACAACACTTGTACTGCATTTATTAATCATAATTGAACATTTACTAATGCTTTATTAACATTTAAGTCCATGCTTGTTAACATTAGTTAATGCACCATGAGTTAACATGAACTAACAATGAACAACTGTATTTTCATTATCTAACATTTACTTACAGGAATAAATACAGTAGTAAATGTATTGTTCATTGTTTGTTCATGTTAGTAAATGCATTAATTAACAGTAATGAACCTTACTGTAAAGTGTGACCGAGACTTGTATATATATTTATATATTTATATTCAAATATGCACAATTTCCAGACAATCATGCCAGTGGACGAGTCTTATATCTAGTGCCGCACGATAATAGAAAAATCTGATATTGTGATATGTGTATTTTTCTCTAATAAATATTGTAATATGTATACAATTTCACAAGATAGTTTGATTAGCTCAATTTGACGGTTTTCTGGGGAGTCTAACATTATTTAGGTACAGAAATGTAATAATTTCCAGGCAAAACATGCTTTTCTCACTTTGCTTTGTCTCATTTCTTCTCCAAATATCTAAAAAAAAAAAAAAAAACCTAAGATCAAGTAATAATTAGGGACTTAACACCTATAGTCCGTAGGCCCTATTGGAATTGCTTGGTTTCTTCTTCTCTGTAAAATGAATTGCACTTTTAAGGGTCTAAAAATGCTCAAACTAACAAACCTTTGCACATGCATCAGAAGTGGTGTAAATTTATGTTTATTATAGGTTTTGGAAGTGGGTGTGGCAAAATGACTTGACAGTGCCATCTGTGTACGCTTCACTTATTTCCTCCCGAGCTAAATTTCACGAATATGTACGAAAATTAGCACACACATCAAACATGCCAATGCCTATAAAAAAGTCTGTCGGAGCAAAATCAAAAACCAAACAAGAAGTCAGATATTTTTAACGTTCTTTTTTTTAAAAAGGGCCGTTTTTGCCAAATCCAGGCATTGTATTTTAACAAACTCCCTCAGGGATTTTATCAAATCAACACCTAAATTGGGTATTGTCATCTAAAGGCTTTGGCGATGTTTAATTGTGAAGATCTAGGGCTCTATTTTTATGGTCCATGCACAAAACGGAAAGCGCAGGGCGCAAATGCTTTTAGGGCGTATCAGAATCCATATTTGCTGATTTAAGGACGGGAAAATCTGCTTTGCACCGTGGCGCATGGTCTAAAAGTGTTGAGTTTATTTTCTTAATGAGGTATAGGTGTGTCCTGAGAATAAAACCAATTGGAGTCTCATCTCCCATTCCCTTCAAGAGCCAGCTGCGTCGCGCCATAAGCGCATTTGCTATTTACATGACGTAAAGGTAGTGTAAGTGGAAAAACTGAGCATTTCACAAGATAACAGTTAATAGTTTTTTTAACAGAATACAATTAACCAGTGCATCTACCGCGGAATAATGAGAGATAATCGATCTACTTTCACTTTCGCTCTTGGATAGGGAAACCTTTACGCACAGACATCAATTAGCCTATAAATAATTAATTTCGTTTGTTCAGCGCAAATATTTGTTTCAAAACTATTTCTAAATTCAGTTTTAATTTCCAGCAAACTAATAAATGAACAATAATTACTAAGTGTGCTCAAAAACCTGAGTTATATCCTAAAACACATGCTGTGCCCCATATGGTCTAAAACCTGCAGGTGGGAAAATCTAAGCTTGTTTTTAATAAAACAAATATAAATATGGATATAATAAATAATACTGCTAATAATAATAACATTATACAAAAGCAAACTGTAATAAATGAATTGAAAAGGCATAAAAGCTGTGGTTTTTCATATTTATGTTGGCTAGAAAATAATATGTTTTGTAATATTTTAGTCCTTTATATTTATATCCTATATATATTCTTATTATATTCTATATATAGGCTTATCCTTAATATTTAAATTTTTTCATATGTAAAGATATTTGCGTATTGCTCTAAATCTTGTGTGTAGGCTATTAAGTAGTGTGTAAGCGAGGGGCAACTCTGCGAGTTTATGTGAGTTTAGACTGGGTTTGTTTTGGTCTAATGAAAAATCTATTATAGTTTCTCAAAATAGCAACGCGCCAGCAATGCGCCTAAGAATGTCTTCCTTTTTAGACCAGAACGCCTGTGGGCGCACATATGAGCGCAAATGCATTTGCTATTTAAAGAGCGTGGCGCAACGCCTCAAAACGACTCTTGCGCCAAGCTGAAACTAGCAAACAAGTATTGCGCCACGCCTTGCGCCACATTGCGCTGGGTGTATGATAGGGCCCCTAGAGTTTTGGTTG